TTCAGTAAGACATTTGATCAAAAAATTAAACTATAGTTTTGCAACTTAACAATACATTCATAGTGATTTTGTAGAAAAAATACCAGTTTATTTCTAATAAATTCACTGATTATTACCACTCCTTTGTTACCAGAATTCAGTTTTTCGCTTGTCTCTCATGCAGTAATCTGAACAGACTTTTTTACATGTTTTTTATTATACTGTAGTTCAAAACCTCTAACACAAAGTACTATGGCTAAAAATGTATTAAAGTCAGGAATACTGTAGGAAAACATTAAAATTTGGCTACTGTATTTATATGTTCTGTAACAACGACACGGTAGAGTTGCTATTTCAAGTGCATATTTTGCTTCAGTAGACTCCCCAATAGCTCCTGGAGATCGACCAGTTTCTGGAGCAATATCTGCTTCTGTACACTCAGGACATGCTGGTTGTATGGAAAATGACTTTCGTTGCAACGATGGTAAATGTATCTTACTGGAGTGGAAATGTGATGGATCTGGGGATTGTCCGGATGGAGAGGATGAAAAAGACTGTCGTATGTTTTTGATTCATTGATTTTTTGATCTACAGTTCCATCTCAACTGATAGTTTGAAAGCGAAAAATTGGTTTTAATAAAAAACGTTTACTTGGTATCTCAGATAAACTAACAAATTATACGTCTTCAGAAATCGACGATTATCTGTTTCGATTCAGATCTTTTTAATTTTTTCTATTAACTTTTATAACGGAGATTTATCTGTGACTTTTTTTAACGCTGTCTACAGAAATAAAAAACTAAGAGGGTGAAAGTTGAAAGTTGAGATAAATTTATTCTTCTTATTTTAATTTATCTTCATTTTTAATTTCATTTTCTAGTCTAATATGACTTTCTGCATTTGACTGCTTTTTCTATTTTAAGGTGATTTGCCTCAATTATTAAATATAACTGGTTCTCTTCGTTATTTTGAACTGCAGTCGAAAAAATTATTGACATTTCACACTTATCTTATCTTGTAGTATGCCCTCGAGCAGCTTCTTCAGTTCATTTTACCTGGTTTTACAATATGAGCATTTGACGCATAAAACTTTTTTTTTATCTGCCGCTTTTATGAATTATCTGAAAACTGCGGTTGTTACTCTCACATCGTTAGTTAAGTTATTTCTTGTATGGTATCTGTTACTTCTGTCACGTAAAGTTGAATTTCAAAAATAAACATCGATTTAAAGGTTTTTTCCTTATCGTACTTCAATCAGTTGCCTGCCTAAAATGGTACCAGTATGAAGTATTTTGATGGTACCTATATTATACGGCGGAAAGGTAATAGGTTGTATGAAAGTATGAAGGAACCTAGATAGGCAACTGAATTGGGTGTATGATAACCGTAAACGGCTTGCTTTACACTTGCGCATAACCTAGTTGTCTGTAAAAGTGTAAGAAAGAAAAACTGGCGAATTAGTGTTAGTACTTTGAGAGAGAAAGTCGTGGGAAGAGGTTTTAGAATCTATTTCGCAACAATCAATAGGCTTGATAATCTTGCTGTCCCAACAGAAGACATAATTTATGAATCAAAAAAAAAAAAAAGCAGTCAGTTCCTGAATACTGTAGGATAAAACACCACCCTTACAGCACATCCTTAAAGAAAATTGTTATTGTTTCCTTTCTTCGCAAATTGGTCTTATTCAAACTTTTTCAATTTTAAACATTATTAATTTATATGATACCAAATTTACCAGTTTTATGCTTTTTTCATTCTTTGAAAATTATTCACACTCACTTACCAATTGATGTTCGTCATTCTCGTTACTATTATCGCATTGTCACAGTTTTTTGTTTTCTAACATTCTCTATGGGAATTGATGCAGGATGAATTCGATTTCTTTTGTTTACTTAGTGAAAAACCATGGTTTTTTTTAGCTCATCCCGGATGTAAAGCCGATCAGTGGCAGTGTGATCGATACGAGTGGCATTCCGTGTCTTGTATTGCAGAATATCAGCGTTGTGATAACATCACTGACTGTGCTGACGGGTCAGATGAGATCGACTGCCGTTAGTGTTTCATTTGTGATTCTTTTTTTTTGTTGCCAACTGACAGTTAACTTGTCATTTGCTGTCAGCATTCAGATGGTGGCGAATTAACAGTCTATTGGTTCGATCTTTTTTGTGAAAACAAAAAGTATTATTCTGGCAACTAAATAAAATTAGAAATTTCGCTCTGCTCTTTTCTGGTCACAGTCAAACTATGTTCCAAGCCTAAGCAGCTAAGTAATTTAATAAAAAAGCAAATTTCTTGATTTCTATTGTTGTAACTGGGCATTTCAGATGCCAGTTAGAGTAATTATACTGTTAACAGTGATGAACCAAAACATATTGTTTCAGCTGCACCTGCTGTTTCATGTAATGTCAATGATGGATCAGTATTTCAATGCGCTGATGGGAGGCAGTGCTTTGACATATCTAAAAAATGTGATGGTATTTACGACTGCAGAGACTTGAGTGATGAAAAGGTATAGTTCTTTTCTTGTAATTTTGGTCTCAAAATATCTCTATCTTTTTTTGCAGTCCAAGCAGTTAAGGAAACACCGTTTTGAAATTACAGGATTCCTGTCCACATAACCACACAGCATGTTTCCAATATCAGTTCCGATGTGCAGATCGTTCGCAATGCATTCAAAAATCTTGGGTCTGTGATGGCTCCAACGACTGTGCAGATGGTTCGGACGAACCATCAACTTGTGGTAAGTGTACAGAGAACAGATATACTGGTTTTTTTCTGAGTTCGTTTTACATAACAGAGATATACGTCGAAGTCGGGCGGTGTGATGAAGATTTGTTTTTTAGAGTTCAAACAGTGCAGTGGCAGTGATTTCCAGTGTAAGAACAAAAGATGCCAGCCAAGGAAGTTTCGTTGTGATTATTATGATGACTGCGGTTAGTGGAGTAATTTTTGCTACTGTTTTCCTCACTAATTATCTTTCTTTTGTTTGCCAAAGTTGATTTTATGTAGTTGACAGAAAAGAAGGGAAATGATGATTTAGTATTATGAAATCACCTGGCTAATTAATCACGAAAAATGAATTTCTGTTTTTCTGTTAATTACGACCTGTTTCTTTTTTGCTTCTTGTCATTTTAAAATTGACTGAGTAGGAAAAATAACAAGGATTATATTTTAGGTGACAATTCTGATGAAGAAGGTTGCGGACAATATCTCTGTCCACCGCAGCAATGGAATTGTCCAGGATCTGGGCACTGTGTTGATGAAGTTAAATTATGTGATGGCAACAAGGATTGTGCTGATGGAGCTGATGAAAAAAATTGCTGTAAGCGTTGCTATTTATTATTGTTGACCGAAAAAGTGACTGGATGTTGGATGACAATACAAAAGAGTTTTCAGGATCTAGATTTAACTTTTTTTCAGTTTATGGTTGTTGCTTTTTTTTTGAAGACATTTGGCAATTGCTTAAGGTTTCGGCTTTAAAACTGTTTATACTTCGTAATTCTGTTCTAGTTTTGTAATATGCTCTGATGGGACTTAATTGATATTTTTAAAGCTTCAAATTTGTGTCCGTCTTTGGGATGCCAGGCTGGATGTCGCTCTTCTCCATCTGGTGGTATCTGTACCTGTCCTGTTGGATACAAATTAGATGAGCGTTTTCATAGAACTTGTTTGGGTTAGCTTTTTATTTTCTTCTATTATTGCTAACCGTTTTAAATTATGGTTTCACTTTTTTATTCTACAGATATAAACGAATGTACTGAGTGGGGATATTGCGACCAAGGCTGTCAGAATCACCGACCTGGCTTTACCTGTTCTTGTCTCGGTGACTGTTTTGATCTGGAAATGATGCACGGTCCAGGGAAAGATAATCTTACTATGAGGGGGTATTGTTTATCGAAGAACGCTGATAAAATGCGCCTTTTTATTGCGCGGAGGGAAGGACTGTACAGGTTTGCACCTCAGTTGATGCATTATTTTTGGAAGAACTTTCCTTTTGCGTGTTTCTCTACTTTTTTTTTGCTTGAAAACGAAACGGTTCTTATCTTAGGGGCACTAGGAAGTTTTATACAGTATAAATTTCTTCAGGATCGATCCCAGTGATGTACCAAATAGCGAGAAGAAGATTGTGTCTGGCGAGTTTTTGTATGGTGTGGGTTATGATTATGGTGACAAAAAATTATTCTGGACTGACCGTTTGTCACACTCTGCATTCAGTGCTGATATCGACGATGATTTTAATGTTGACCACATACGGTTGGTTCAGTTCTGTAATGTTAGATTTGATAAAGCGGTAGTAGCACCTGCGAAAATGTCATTTGCCAAAGTTCTTATAGGAAGCTCGACCTTAAAAGTCTAGTATATCCCCGAAATCTAGCTGTTGATTGGATTGCCAACTTGTTGTACATAGTGGAATCTGGTTCACGTCGCATTGATGTGTCGCAGTTTGACGGTGAACGGCGAACGGTTCTGATTGCTGATGGACTTACGCTACCACTAGATATTGCACTAGACCCACTTCGAGGGTTAGATTTTTGATTTTTCACTGATTATTTTTCTCTTTTTTGTTGTTGCAGTAACTGTATTAGGGAAGGGAAAAAGTTTCTTGTAAAATTGAAAGTAATTTTTCGTAATAAGCTGCGATAAGCTTATATAAATCATTAGAAAAAATTTAGAGAGATGTTCTTCACAAACCAGTTTAAGTTAGAGGCAGCAGCAATGGACGGCACTCGTCGGCGTACTCTGATAGATACCCATACTCACCAAGTTAGTGGTGTAGTTGGTATGTTACTTTCTTCTTCTTTCCACATTTCTTTTATGATTTTCGAACAACAAGTGAAAGTTCTTAAATTTAGTTGATCTTACTGGCAAGCGAGTTTACTGGGTTGATCCAAAAGTAGATCGAGTTGAATCTGTAGATTATAACGGTCGTGATAGAAGGATTGTGGCACAGGGAATGAATATGGTACATAATAATTGCTCTTCTTTTTCCACAAAAATTCATTTTTTACGGAAGGCGCATTTTTTTAGGCATTAGCTTCTCTTTGTAAAAACTTTAGTGTTAAGGTACCACATCCGTTTGGTTTGACTATATTTGACCAATATCTGTACTGGACTGACTGGACTCGCCTTGGAGTTACAAGAGTGGAAAAGTTTGGCTCAACTCCTGAAATTTTGTGGTAAGAATTTCTCTGGTCGTTAAGTGAAACTCTAGATCATATTATAAAAATTATTTCAAGGACTAAAAGGGAAAATAACGTATTTCCAATGGGTATTACCGCGTATCACGCTATGGCTCAACCTGGTCCACAACAAAGTGACTGTCTAGGGATGAAAATTGATAACCCGTGTATAGAGGCTGACTGCCAGGGAATGTGTTTATTGACGAAGGATGCTGGTGGATTCGGTGTCGGTTATAGATGTGCTTGCCCAATTGGACAAGTAATTTTAAATTTTCTCTTGCATGATTTCGAGCGCTTTTCCCCTGGTTGTAGTAAGATTTACCAAGAATTTTTGTTGAATTTTCAGACGTTTTTGTAGCATTGTATTTGTTTATTTTAGAGGTTAGTAGAGGGAAAAAAGTGCGTCGATTCCACTGAATATCTCCTGTTCAGCAGCAACAAAATCGTACGCGGTATTTTTCCAGATATGGAAAGCTCTCTAAGCGAGGCAATATTACCAATTTCTCCTACCTCACAACGTCGTATTGGAATGTACTTTGAAGTTGAATGTGATGTTCACGGCAATAGCTTCTTTTACGCAGATATAATGGATAATACAGTTTACAGGTTTGTGAAACAAGCATTCTGTTTATTAATTAACCTTTACTCCTATCTTTTTTGTCTTTATTACTTTTTAAACTCTTTATTGTTGGAATAGTTGATTTAAGTGTGAATCGTATAGTTTTTGTTTTCGAGCATATTAAATCTGAATTTATTTATATATTCGGTTTTTCGTTTTTTTTTTCTTTACTTTCTTCTCATAGACAGTTCGGTTTTAGAGTTCGTCCAGATGGGGAAGGATTAGCACCTGTTCTCGTCACACACAATGATGGGTTGGTATCTATGTCATTTGACTGGTTGTCGAAACAGCTGTATTACGTTGACAATATTCGCAATAGCCTCGAAGTGGTGAAGATAACTGAACAGGTAAAGTTTTTTAGTTTTTTTAGATTGTATGCTTTGTCATTCATTAATTTCTACAAAGCTGATTGTGAACTATAAACTAAATGTTATAGGGACTGGTTAACACTGAAGATCTCGTCCACAGACAGCTGTTCAGTGGGCTTCGCGATCCTGTTGCAGTTGCTGTACATCCTTGGCAGGGACTTTTGTTCTTTGCAGAAGCTCAAAGACCTGCGAAGATTCTACGATGTCACATTGGTTGGTGGTTGCTAATCTTTATATATCTGCTGATGCTTAAAGGTTTATTGGTAGAGTTCTTTTACTGGAATTAAAAAGTTTCTGTATTTCTGTTGCATTAGCTAAATCGAATTTCAGGTTTGTTTTATTTTTAAATTTTGCTGAAAAAGCGGGATTTTTGTTTTTAGATGGTTCTAATTGTAAGGTTATTCGCAACAATACGATTGGCAGACCTTCAAGTTTAGCAATAGACTTTGTTAACCAAAGACTCTGTTTTGGAGACACTTTGTTAAAGACTATTACCTGTATGAATCTGGATGGATCAAACTCTACGGCACTCCCAATTGACAATCCAATTCCTGTCGCTATTACAATTTTAGGAGGTATTTATTCATCTTATTTTTCGGCTGCAAGTGCGCTAAAGATTCTTTTATTGGCTTATTTAGAGGAACTATATTACGTACATCAGAGACCGTATTCTATTCGTAAAGTAAGCAAAACTACTGGCGGAACAAGTCGTGTTGTTAGAGAATTTTCTGGTGAAGAACGAAGTATCTTCTCATTAAAGGTTTTTTCTTTTTGATAAAGGAATCAGTAGCGCTTTTATTTTCAGTTTATTAAAGTAAGTAAGTAATTAATTGGTTTTTAAAAACATTATTTGTAGGCTTGCTCACGTTCAAATCAACCGATCCCGGATGCATCTGTATTTCATCCTTGTCATAAAAGCGATTGTGCTCAGTTGTGTTTTGCCGTCCCAGACTTATCGCAATCATCCGACGCACCATCACTTGTAAAAAAATGTGGATGTAAACAAGGTAACCGACTCGTTTTTAAAAATGGTTATCAGTCTACAGAACGGTACATTTTTGTAATGAACGAATTTATTGTTTTAGGATACAAAGTAAACCAAGAAGACCTTCGATCTTGCCTTCCTGATCCAACTCAGCCGGTTGAGGAGTTATGTGCAAGCAATACCACCCAGTTCCGGTGCACTAATGGTCGATGTATACCTAACGAATGGAAATGTGACGGTGAAGATGACTGTTTAGATGGTAGTGATGAGGTACTTTTATTTCGCTACTGCTTGTAATACTATATTTCTTAGCGTTTGTTAAATTTCTCGTTACGGCTGCATAAAGTTGTCGAACAGCGACAGTAAAACGTCTGCGGTAACTCCTCCTGAGCAGCTTTTTAATTGTATTATTATCAACAAGAAGGGCTTTTGCGGGCTTGTTTTGGTGGTTTATTCTTGCTTCCAAACTAGGAAGTTTTATTGTTTATAGCGCTTTCTTTCAGAAAGGCAGTGATGGAAAATCATGTTTTGTTGAGAAACAGTGTCCGCCAAATACTATCCGTTGTAACAATACCAAGAAGTGTATTCCCCAACAGTACGCCTGTGACGGAGATAATGACTGTGGCGACTATTCGGATGAGGATGTCAAAGTAACGACAGCAAATGCATGAGAAAAGCAATTTTTATTATAAAAGATGAATTCTTGAGCAGTTTATTCAAATGTTTTTCAGTATTGTAAAAATGGAGAAGCTCCTGTTTGTGCTGCTAAAAAATTCCAATGTGATAACCATCGTTGTATTCCTGAGCAATGGAAATGTGATTCTGACAATGACTGTGGCGACGGATCGGATGAGAAATTGGAGATGTGTGCCAATGTAACATGCTCTGTGAATCAGGTTTCTAAGTTTTTTATTATTTGTTTTAAATTAAATGAATTTTGAAATAAAATTTGACTTTTATAGTTTACTTGTAACAATGGTCGTTGTATTCCTGTCTATTGGCTTTGCGATGGTGATAATGATTGCTATGATAATACCGATGAGGATAAGGAAAGGTGCCCACCAATTCAGTGTCGTCCTGATCAGTTTAGATGCGCTGATGGCCGACAATGTATTTCGCTGAAGAATCACTGTGACGGACAAATGGATTGTGAGGACGGCTCTGATGAGGACAGCTGCTTACTACAAGTATACAATAAAGATTTATTATCTCTTTCATTTCATGAATGCTTATTTAGATGGGGGAAAACTCGCAGTATTCTTATTTTTGTATTTTAGCAAGGCCAGTGCAAGAGCAATGAATTTACGTGTGTTACAAGCGGCTTCTGTATCCCAATAGCCTGGAAGTGCGATGGACAACAGGTGACTGAATGAATCATTAGTTACATTTATAGAGTTGCGTTTCCATCTGATTCCGTTGTGAAAGGGTGCTCACTCGCTAGTTTTGATGGAATAATAAATTGCCCGTAACTAAAACTCTAATGAAATTAAGAGTTTAATGGATCATAACTAAGCATTTAATCATTTAAGGATTGTGAAGACGGTAGTGATGAACCGGCCGGTGCGTGTGGTATTGTGCAGTGTCCGGCAAATCATTACAAGTGTGATAATGGACGGTGCATCTTCAACGTAAGAAATATTGAATTTAATTTTGGGAGCTATTTCATACTTCCTTTCCTACATGGAGTTTCTGGATTTCAGACGTGGTACTGTGACGGAGAAAATGACTGTGGTGACAACAGCGATGAGGACGCCAATCATGGATGTCAGAAGAATCAACAACTGAGTGTTCGCTGCCCATTTGAACACGTCAGCTTTTCTTTCTACAACTGTGTTTTACTGATGGAACAATGAAACTTTAAAATACTCGTCAGAGGATTTTTTATTGCTTTCTTAAATCTGTCTCTATCTGTTACTCTCTTTATGTGCTAATTCTGTTTTAGGCTCCTTGCACGGAGGCGCCTGATATCTGCATACCTCTTCACCAGTTTTGTGATGGCAAGGATCATTGTCCTAGTGGCAGCGACGAGGGCGGCAGATGCTCAAGAGATTTATGTGCCGCTGACAGGGCTGGTTGCACTTATAAATGTCATATGCGTCCTGACGGTCCTTTCTGCTCATGTCCTTTCGGAGAACAAGTACTTATCTGAAAAAAAAAAAACTTTAGTCGTTCATTCGTTTCTGAAATTAGCGATCAATCTTTTTAAGCTAATAAACAAAACTCGCTGTGAACCGGAAAATGAATGTCTGGACCCGAGAACTTGTAGTCAAAGATGCACAGATGAAAAACACGGTTACACGTGTAGTTGCGATGAGGGTTATACACTTGAACCTGATAAGAAGACTTGTAAAGTTTCCGAAAATCGTCAGGTATGAACACTTTATTTGCTAGGTTATATCAATCGTAAGTCTGACCTGCTATGGAAACTGTAGTTAATGCTTCGATATGATTAAGGATATGAGAATCTATGTTTCAAATCGTAACAGAATTTATTGGTCTGATAGTCACTTGGAGAACTGGAGGACATTTGCCGCAGAAGTTGAGAATGCTATAGCTTTGGCATGGGATTCTGTCGAAGATAAAATATATTGGTTAGTTGCAAAATAGTTGAAAGTTATTTTGTTTTGTTAGAGAAGTCATTTCTTGTATTCGTTGGCATTCTAGGTCCGATATTCGAGAAAAGAAAATTTATTCGGCGACAAGGAATGGCACAAATGTCACTGTATTTGTTGGGGAGGGTCTTGATATTACTGAAGGAATAAGTTTGGACTGGGTGGCTAGAAATCTTTACTGGGTGGATTCGAGCCTTAATACGATCGAAGTTGCTTCTTTAGAGAATTCTAGCGCTAGGTAAGTTTATTACAATTAAAAGGTAAAAGGAAGGGCTATTCAATAATTTTTTATTCATATTCTTTTCTTGAAAGTTCTTCTATAAATTTTGCTTTGCAGGGTAGTTTTGATTCATGAGAACGTTGACCAGCCACGTGGGATAGCTGTTGATCCTCGGAAGGGGTTGTTGTTTTGGACCGACTGGGGACAAGTATTTTTTAGCTTTTTTTTGTGTAGTACACTGTGCACGAAAGGCTAATTTATTGCACCAAAGTGCCGGTTGGTGAAAAAAATCTGATGTGGGGTGGTTATTATTGTTTTAATGCTTTATAAATGGATTTTTTAGAAACCGCGGATTGAGAGAGCTTATATGGATGGTTCTGATAGAAGGATCATTGTCGATGTTAAAATTTACTGGCCTAATACAATCGCGTTGGATTTCACTTCCGATCGAGTTTATTTTGCTGACAGTAAACTTGATTACATTGACTTCGTTAAATATGATGGTAGTGGCCGTACTCAAGTTCTCTCATCACCAAAATTTGTGCAGCACCCGCATGCTTTAACCATCTTCGAAGATATGATTTACTATAGTGATAGACGTCTGCAGAGGCTGCAACTGTATCCTAAATATCCAAATGGAACTTCGCGAGACTACCCATCACATACTTTCTCAAAAGCGCTTGGCGTAGTTGGGGTACATCCTGTTCTTCAGCCTCCCGTTAAAAATAATCCATGCGCTGGACGTCCATGCTCAGATTTGTGCCTTATCGGAAGAAATATGGTATTTTCTCTTGGAAATTGGTTATTCGTACTGGAAAGGTCAAAAAATTGTGATTATTAAATGATGCATCAGTATGTTTTTTTAGACATTTACATGCAAATGTCCGTTAGGAAAAATATTAGGTGCCGATGGTAGAAATTGTGCCCTCGATACAAAACCATTTCTTCTTGTCATACAAAAGACAAACATATTTGGAATGCAAATAAATCCTCCAAACAATGGCACTCCTGGTTTAGCAGGAATGGTTCCTCTTGCTGGGCTCAGCAATGCATACGATGCTGCGTTTGATCAAGAAAATAATGAGGTATTAGATGAGCCATGATGATAATGTTGTTGCTCAAGTTGAAATACTTGTAAGTCTATTTATAGCTTTATTATCTGGAGCACTCTGTAACTGGGCGGCTCCTCAGTGGTGGTACCAACACGGAAGCGAGAATCGTTAAGGCTTCATTTAGTACCTCAAATCGTACGAAAGTTGGTTATTTTTTGTCTATTGGAAAACAATTCTACCAGTCAAATTTTCAAAACTTTAAGTTACGACTGATTTACGGTGTTTTTTAGTTTCTTGAATTAGACTTCCAGTTTCTATAAAACTTTTTTGTTATGTTTCACACTTCAGATTATGGCATCGCTTGTCATTGACGACCCGTACTGTATGGCTCTTGACTGGAACTCACTGAACCTCTATGTTGGAAATAAGATTTCTCAAACAATTGAAGTAGTTCGTACTCAAGGGAAACAGGTGTAAATATATGTTTGCTTACTTTTTTTTGATTTTTGAATACAAAATTCGAAAGTGTTCTTATTTCCTTTTTGGTATCAAAGTATAATTATTAAAAAAATTTAGCAGTGGAATGTAGCTTTATGAATACATTTTAGCATCGCGCTGTGATTCTGCATAACGATCAGTCGCCATTAACAGTTGCACAACCGGTAGCTATTGCGATTGACTCCGACAGAGGAATCCTGTTTTGGTTAGATAGGGGTATTGGAGGTTCACCACCAAAGGTCTCTTTTAGTTATTTTGAAAACTTGGCAAATATGTGGAAGAAAAAAGATTTCAATTTTAGCTCGCTCGAACAGACTTGGATGGAAAAAATGGTTTGGTTGTTGTCGCCAACGATATAAGTGAAGTTGACCATATCGCCCTAGATACTATTAACCAGAGAGTTTATTTTTCTGAGGCGAAGGCTGGAAGGGTAGGAATTCAGTTCTGTGATAATTTTAATGAATTTCAGGTGGCTCTCTTCAGATATTTAAAGACCTCAAAATTTAATAATATTTTAGATAGCTTCTACGATGTACGACGGACAAGACAAACGTTACGTATTAAATGATCCTGGAAAACAGCCTCTTGGCCTGGCTTTTTTCGGCCACCGTCTTTTTTATGCTGATAGTGCCTTTGATTCTATAGAAGTAGCATCAGTTGGTGACGATCAGACGCCGCAGTTTAAGAAATTTAAGGCAGACGTTGAACAACTGGTTAATCTGCAAATGGTTGTCCCAAGAAAAAGTAAGAGACTTGTTGACTACCAATTACGGTTATTCCAAAAAAAAACAGCAAAGCTGATTTATAAGTTTTTACTGTACAGATGTTGGCTCTCATCCTTGCCAGATTGAAAATGGAAATTGTGAACATTTATGTATATCAAAGCAATATTCGCAATTCCAATGTATGTGTGCAACTGGGTTTGTGTTGGATGGAGAAACTCGGTGCAAGCTTTTTGACAAATCATTCCTACTTGTTGCTTCCAAAACTAAAGTGATTGGAATTCCGTAAGTTATTCAGCACATGAGTGCTATCACTTAATACTTTTCTCAATATCATCTAGGATTTTGTCATTGTAATCAAATATTAAATATATATTTGATTATATATATATATATATATATATATATATATATATATATACGTATATATATATATATATATATATATATATATATATATATAGCACATGGTGGTAGTCATGATTTTGGCACCAGTGTGAGGAAAGACTTTTTTGCTGATGCAAGTCTGAATGGGAAACGAATTAATAGATCTTTTCTTTTCTGCATTTCTAACCAGTTAAGAAGTATTTGCTTACTAGTTTTCTATATAATAAATACTGGTTTTATACGTAAGATTATTTCGTTTAAATGTTGAATAAGGAAACGATAAACAGTAAGATTTCAATGACGTGTTTGAAACTTAGATTTCTGCGTGATAAGTGATTGAAATGATGGCCATAACGAAAGGTGAGAAAGAATTACTAAAAGTGCACCTTTTGCCCGACTAGCTGAACTACCTAACTTCTCATCGAACTTACCAGCGACCTACATTTTTTTGCTCCAGCCCTCCTGAATTACTATTATAAGTTTTTGAGCAGTCGGCGTCTTTTTCTCTCTAATGGGACTGCATAAATATTTCTCTGATACGTCCGTTGAATCTGGCTCGAGAGTCTGCAGCGGTCATTTGAGAACCTTGGCTTCACTGACTCTGACCTATTTGACAGTAAGAGTTGTGGTGTGCCTTGAGTAGTTATCCTGCAGCAGACTCCGGTTCTCAAGAAACGTCTTCATTGTGTCTCCGGAACAGTCGGTCACTGGCTGGCTTCTGATGATAGATACACCATTATATTTGAGCGGTTATTTACCTCTTACTTCCATGCTTTTTCGTCCCTGTTCACTTCAGTCTACTGCTTTGGTCGTAAGCAAATAAACAGACAGGCTTGCACCATTCGACGGATTTTGCAAAACCTGTGAAATTTAGGCATTTACTTTCCAGTCTTGTTCATGGCTCAGGCAGACTTACTTTCAGTTCCCGACTCGTACTCACAATGTGGCAATAGAATGTACTGGAAACTGATAAAGAGTTCAGAGAAGAAAAAGCAGAGGCAAAACCTGAATATTTTAATGTTCTTTCAAAACAGAATTAGATATAGCCAAACTACTGCAGTTTTTGTTATGAAAAAATTTTCACACAGATGATTTTTTCGGCTTAAAATTTTTAAATAGTGAAGAGATCTCTGCTGATTTCGTTGGTCGTAGTGCCCAGCAAAACGCGCTCAGATTTTAACTTTCCTTGTTCAACAAATGAAAAATTACGGCTAAATACTTCGATCTATTTGCACCATCAGTGCTAAAACCATGTCGGTTACTGTGAAAATAAATAAGTAAATAAATAATTAAACACATATATATATATATGTTTGAAGGATTGTAATTTTAGATTAAAATTAGACTAGCTGCTAATTTCTTTAATTTCTTTTTAAGACTCAACGAGGACCATGCGAAAGCTGTCGCTATGGAACCTATCGGTGGCTCTGCAATTACTGCTGTTGATTTTGAGTATGAAAGCAAGTCAATTTTCGTTGCTGAGTCTGCTGGTCCTAATAGAGGAATTCTACGATATACTTTGGGTGGCGGTGAAGTAAAGAACATAGTAAAAGACTCATTTGGCTCGTTTACGATAAGGAGCATTGCTGTGGACTGGGTCAATTGTGAGGATTACTTTATGAACGCTTTTTTAGCGTGCATACTTTTGTATGGCTGCATTAATAGGTGTTTTTTAGACAACATTTATTTTATCAATGTTGATGCTGATCGCACTCATCTGGAAGTTTGTCAGCTTGATGGAAAGCATCGTAAAATTTTATTATCTACAAAAACTGAAACTCCAACTTCATTAGCAGTTGACCCCGTGGCTCGATATTTGTACTGGGCTGATCAAGGACAGAATCCGTCGATTCAGGTTTTTTTTAGAACGGCTTTTTTTTT